AGCCGTGAAAGCCTTCGACAATACAATGTTTCTAATGTTTTGCCATTGTTTTAACTCCTCTTCTGTTAATTTTATTGGTAGCATCCAAAATAAAAAATTAACTTTACAATATATTACTATTTAAAGTTTTTGATAGAATACTATTTTGATGATGCATGGGACTTTTTAAAGATTCTGAGAAGTTCTGGGGCAGAAGGTTCATTTCAGGTCCTTTTGCCTGAATTTTCTTCTTATTGGGTGCTATGTCATTTTTTTCCCCTGTGTTATTTTTCCCCCATTGATATCAATGGCTCAGCAGGAGTATAAGAGAAATCCAAAATAAAATAAATTAATGGGACTTGAATACACCCATGCTTTGAATGCTGTTTTTACAGCACTATTCCTCTGACTGAGGTGTGCATTCAAAATGTATTAGGATCTGGTTTGGAATAAATGTTATGTAGATCATATTTCTTTTCCATTATAACCAATGAAATCAACCTTTTGATTTAAACTAACAAAGAAAATAGATTTTCTATAATTAAATTAGTGAAACTGAGTAATTATATAGACAGCATTGCTGATTTTGTACATTTATATCCACACACATACCCACACACATAGACACAAGAGGAACAATTATTAGAACTTAGGTGGAAAATGTATGGATTGATTAAACCCTTTCTGGACTTTAGACTTGGTTTGCATACTTAGTTTAGTTCTACATATATGAAAACTAGCCTATTAAGTAAGCATGTAGCATTTTACAAGGTTTCAATGTGTCCAAAAAATTTCCAGCTGGTATTGTTTCATTGGTAAGTGCCTGTTAAAGTTGCAGGGATAAAACTTAAATCTCCTCCATCAGACTGCTACCAAGAAATTGGCTACAATACTAGCTTCAGCAAATAATGAATGTGCTTTAAATAAAATAATTTGGACTAATTTAATTGGAAGTGGTAGGAATGAAAGTGAAAATTTCATCCAATTAATTATAAATAACTTCCAACGGCAAATGAACCATAATCAAGAGATGACAAGTTTTAACTAGCATCAAAATCTATCTAGGCTGTAACTGAACTTTGTGACCTTAAGGATGATTTCAAAGTTTTGTTTGTTACCCTA